GCACGTTACATTAGGGTGAAGGGAGGTCGAAGAGGCCGTGGAAGTGCATTCCAGGGGGTGAGCCGTTATAAATGCTTCTGAAAACAAAGATCTAAAGAAGTAAATAAAAAATGCACAAAAATAAACCACCATAGAGTTAAAAAGGAAACCAGAAATGCATCCACGGGGAGACTAGTCTTAGAAATGAGGAAATGGGTGCTCTGAGAATTCAGGATCAGGACCAGAAGCCATGTCTGAACAAGAAACGGAGTTTGTATTTTTTATAATAAGGATATATTTAAATGTGTTTTACTGATTTTAGAGAGATGAAAAAGGCGAGGCCTAAACTCAGTATTAATCTGCCGTATGATTTACTTGTTTTAAAGGGAATAGAAATTTCATGTGATTTTTGGTGAATTAAAAGTGTCTTTTACAATACAGAAAGCAGTTATTCTTAATGTTTAAAGGCTGACTAGGGTAATGAAGAGAAATAAACTAAATAAGAAATTCAGAGCCCTGATTTCTAGCTTCATAAAATAGCTAGATTAACAATCATATTAAACTCTTCTGTTCAGCAAATGATGATTTAGTACCTATTAAGTATAACCTGTTTAAGAACAAACCTCTTAAAAGAGCAAAATATACTGATGTCCAATTACTGACTCATCTATGAAATGTGAACTAGAAACAGATCGGTTATTCAAAGAGCCAGTTTCACACAGTACTGGAAAGTGCATGGATCACGCACTGCACATACTTAAGAGATGATTTCATCAAGTTTTCAAAAAGAACTTGAGCTTCTATTAAAAGCAGTAGAACTTTAACAGGAAAGCTAAACCTAGGAAAACTGGGTATAAGCCAAATCAACTCAAATACTGAGTGTTTTTAAAAAATTTATACATCTGATAATTATTCATCCCAAGTAATTATGGAGCATCTAAACTTAGAAACAAAAATAGACCTCTAATTGTAAAGATAAGCTATAAACCTGTGGGTAAGAAGGAAAAATACTGTAAAATTCTGGCATCTTCATGATAATAGTCCAATTTCTGGGACAAAAGCCATATTCTTTATGTAGCAAAAGAAAGGGGTCTATCTGGGCCTAAAAATACACATACACTTTTTTCCTTAGTTCAGTTGGTCACGAAGACGCAATATGGAAACGATTTCATGTTAGTTAAGAAGCGCAGTGATTTAATAGGCATTATACTCGGTCAGATTATTAAAGCTCTAAAACAATGCAAATATTATATGAGAAGATGTTTTGCTCCAAAGTAAGTAATAGCAGCCCTAATACAGGCAGCAACTTCCTCTGTGGAATTTTAAGAACAAGTAGCAACGTGGGTTTTCACCCAGAGACTTCAGAACAGACAGTTACAAAGACGCTGCCTCCTTGACTACTTAAAAATCACAGAGATTTGTCTAGAAGAGGATGGCCCATATTTTTCAAACAATTTTTTTTTTACAGAGAAAACTGATTTTTCCAGGGTCGTAGTTACGGTCAGAGTGAAGAAGAGCAGCCGCGCCCCCTGCCTCCGCCTGGCCCAGGGGCAGTACTGCCCTGCAGACCAGGCCGGGGGACACTGCCAGGACATCCGCAACGCTGACACTGGCTTACGGT